CCCCTTTTCCTTCTCTTCCTTTTTTAACCCTAGGTACCTACTTTTGATTTCCTTGGGAAAATAGTAATCTTACTTTGTATTTGGTTTTTTTGGTCAGGGGCTACCAGGGATGGAACTTGGGTCCTTGCGCTTGTGAGGCAGGGAGCAGAACCACTCAGCTAAATCCCTAGTCCTGTGTATGTTTTAAAGAGTCATCTTCATTACATTTCTCTACATATTTAATTTTGATATTGATATGGAATGATTGTTAAGGACACTACTGCTGCTGTGTATTAGAAATAAAAATTGTAGAACTATTTTAATTTTCAAACTTACTACTTTTTTTTTATAGAACATTAGCCCTGATTAAACCAGACGCAGTATCAAAGGTTGGAGAAATAATTGAAATAATAAACAAAGCTGGGTTTACTATAACCAAACTCAAAATGATGACACTTTCAAGGTGAGTTGTTGATCATTTTCAGTTTTGAAATGCCTGATTCCTTTTTTTAAAAAATCATGTATCTTTCACATTATTTTAAAAAATAAGCTCTTGCTGAATAGCAAAGAGCTGGTAATCTTATCAAAATGAGCAAAAAAACATGTAGTCATATGGAACTCAATGACGTCTAAACAGAAGTATCAGATTATACAGGCCTCCTTCAGCTATTTCCTCCTACTTTTATAATATGAGAGGTTGGTGATTGTCATTTCTTGCTCTTCATATATAAGAAAATTGTTTAAAAATTATAAAAGAGAAAATGAATGTCTGATTATTTCTCCATGCTCAAATTTTCTGAAAGTGTTATATTTGGAAATGTTTATATTAAGCTCCTCTTAATATATACAATAGGTAAATAGGCCTACTTACTACTCTGAAAAGCAACCTGGATATCTAATCAGATATTTTCTAAGTTATTTAGTTAAAGTAAGACGTATCCTATTTCGCCCTTTTTTAGTAAAGTAACTCTTAATCTCATGATAAAATTATGTTTCTGCCTTGATGATTACATGGAAAATATTTACTCTGTTCACATAAAGAATAGAGAAATGGAACTACCTTATTTTCACTCTTTTCCCAGAGCCTGTGGAGGGAAAAATCATCCTTCCAGTCTATTGGGTATTTGTTTTTTAAAAATTTTCCTATCAAGTAGACAAAGCAGTGACTCAGATATTCCAGAGAACGAAGGGGAGAGATGGAACATCTATTAGGGTAGAGGCATCTGTTCCTTGGGATTACACTGATGCTGGCCAAGGCTGACACAGTAGCACAGAGTGTCTACAGGGATGTGAACATAGCACTTAGACTGAGCTGGCTCTGGTAGTATTCTTATATTTCTCCTCTAGTTTTTTTGTTTGGTTTTGATCAGGTGTCTTCTCACTGTTCCTGGATGTCTATTTCATGGGTCGGCTGCATTTGTGTTTCTGTGAGAACAGAGACAGTGAATAGCAGTAGACATTCAACACAACTCCTATGTGTGATCTGGAAACTTTAGCAAAATGCCCTCAGCTTTACCTCAACAATGGCATATGTTTAATTTGAAATTTTCTCCTGTGTAAGATCTCCCTGTTTCCATATTGTCTTGAGAGGCAGGAGGCTTACATTTCACAGAAGAGCCGATAGCCAGTTGCTTGTAACTGTACCACTTCCTAGGTGTATGACTGAACAATTTACCTGTCCTTGTTTCTGCAAAGTGCAGGTTATGATAGTACCTATGGCCTAAATTGTTGGGAGGGTTACATGACTTTACTATCTGTATGCCTGTAGTGTTTGATAACTCGGTGTCAAACTTCCTGTGAGGGAGATGCTGGCTGAGGGAGATGCTGGCTGTTTGTCTATTGTAATGACTCTGCCTACTCTGACTTCTGTCAGTGGGAATGTTCAGCGTCTCTGTGAGTCACCCGGGACCCCTTGCTCTGTAGACAGTTTGCCTCCCCATCTCGGTGACTGTTGCCGTCATTTCCATAACCTGCCACGCCGACATCTCTGAAGTAGGTATTCCTCCAGTTCTTCGCATGTTCTTCCCTTCACACTTTCTCTGGGGTAGTTCCCGGATGTGGCCGTATCATCACCTATTTACAGATAAAATTCAGATACATATCCAGCCCTCTTTACAAGTCAGTCTGGAAGTGATGCTAGATGCAGCCTTCTCTTCCTTGTTCCTCATATCTATCTATCTGACATTTAAGTCTTTTCACTTCATTTTTCTATACATCTCTGGAAGCCTTTTCTTTCATACAATTTTCATTTTTATGGGCCCTGTTTAGATCCTCAAAATGTTAAAATAGGCTGCTGGCTGACTGCTTACATCTAGACTTAATATACTCTGACACTTGATGGGTTATTTTCTACCCTAAAGTTGCTTCCTTCTACTCTCTTATGTAGACACTAGAATGAATCTTATAAAATGAATGTCACCATCCCCTTCCTTAAAGCTTTCAACAGTTCCCCAGGCAAAAATAGACTAGCTCTTTGGTGGAGTAGACAAGACCCTTAGTCATCTGGCCTTACCTATCGTAATAGCCTCACCTCTTGCCACTTCCAGAGCCCATTTGGGTTTCAGCCCCCTGAATATTCCATGCTTTATCTCACCTCAGTTTTCTGTGAATAATGTTCTGTCTTGAATGCTTTACTTTTTTTGTTTGTTTGTTTGTTTGTTTTTTAGGTTTTTTTTTTGTTTTTTGTTTTTTTTGGTACTGGGGATTGAACTCAGATCCTTGTACATGCGAGGCAGGCACCGGAACCACTGAGCTAAATCCCTGGCCCTTCTACTTTGTTTTATTCAGACCTAACTGAAATGTTTAATTGGGACTTACCTCCCCCCCCACACACAAACAACTTTCTTTAATTAGTCATAGCATCATTTCTATAAATTTAAGTGTTGAGTCTCTGATTTTACCCAGCTCACAGGTTAGTAAGGCACTTAGTCTGTCACTCCTCCATGCATGCCAGCAGAGACCGAGAGTCTTCTGGGTGGAAGAAGAGGGACTTAAGCCAGCAGTGTGCACATCATGTTTGTATTGGTTGCCTTTGCCTCCTGGCTCTGGAAGGTGTGTTGCCAGGTACACATCGGACTACATCACAACTGAAGACGTGTGAGCTTGGCTTACCTACGGTGTCATCTGCAGGCAGTAAACCAGCTACCTTTGTATAGAGGACAGAGGTTTGTCACTATAAACAGCCCTGAGACACAGGGTTACAGAAGTCAGGGCCTTGTATTCTTGACCTGCTCAGAAAGACATGTTAGGAGTGCGAGAGACCCAAAAAAGAGCTTCTTTCAATGTCAGTGTTGTTGTCATGATAGTTTTCAAAAGGCAGGAGCTGGGTTCCCTCTGGATTTGTATTTCTAGTTTTTGGATCCAGTGCCATCAGGTACCACCTAGCAACATGTGGGGCCACAACAGTGATGGACAGATACTCATTGTCGGTTTCATAAGATTCAAATGGAGCTGAAACATCTCTATCCCTGATGTCAAAGCTGTCATAATGCATGGCATTATCCTCATCTGTGGCAAAGCTACAGTGCCAATACACCTACAAAGCTGCCAGTTGTGTAACAGTTATATACAGCATGGTGCGCAATACCTGGTAATGGTAATAAACGAGTATGCTACTGGTTTGTAGTTTTGTAACAGTTATATACAGCATGGTGCGCAATACCTGGTAATGGTAATAAACGAGTATGCTACTGGTTTATGTAGTTACTATTCTTTTTTTTTTTTAAGGATTTTTTTTTTTTGGTACCAGGGATCGAACTGGGGTCCTTGCGCTTGCAAGGCAGGTGGTGGAACCACTGAGCTAAATCACTGGCCCAGTTGCTATACTTTTTAATATTTTAAAAGTTTTATTTGTTTTTTAAAAGCTTACCATAAAGCAATGTGCTATGTTTCACTGGGAATGGTCGTACACATGTATTAACCAGGTTTCTTGATTGCATCATGAAGCCATGTTGAGTGATTGACCTATACCATCTAGGTTTGTACAGATACATTGTTGTGTTCACATAAATGATAAGATCGCTGAACAGTGCATTTTTCAGAACAGATCCCACCATTAAGTGCCCTGAATATATATATTAACGTTCTTCCCTTTTTTTGGTTCCAATTATTGAACACAGGATCTTGGCACCAAGCTACATCCCAGCACTTTTTAACAACCTTTTTTAATTTTAAACTTTGAGGCAGGTCTCACTGAGTTCCTAAGTTGTCCTGGCTGGGCTTGAATTTGTGGTCCTCTTGCCTCAGCCGCCCAGAGTGCTGGCATGGCAGATGTGTGCCGTTACTCCTAGCTGACTGTATTTCTTAGGATAATTAATATGAAAGAATGTGTGTGTGATTAATGTGAAAGAACAAACCTTGTAAGAGAATGGTGAGTTTCTTCATAAATATACACCAAGCCACCTACAAAACTCTTCTGTAGGTAATGGTATGTTTGTTAAAATCTGTCTCCTTCTAAGTCTCTTAAGGGAAAAATTAAATAAGAACAATGGGAAGATTTTCGTGAACTCTCATTCTGATTTCAACTTTGCATTTGGAATGGAGATAACTATGGAATCAGTAACATGTCAGAAGAAAACAAACACTTTTACTATTGTATTGAGGTTTCTTTTCATTGATTTTCATGGTTATGATATGAATTGTTTTCTTTTTAGGAATTCAGTCAATTATGTTGATAAGATTAGAGTTGGTATTTTAGTACCATTCTGCTAATTCTTATTTATAAGACATCCAGTTTTGCCCCATGTTAGGCTGTAATTGTAGCACAATATATACATATCTAGTTTCTGTGAACTCTTCTCTTTTTTTTTTTTAGAATTCTTCTCCCTGTGATTGATATTAGAGCATAAACAATCAGATTTGCAATCAGAGAAATTTCAGTTTTAATCTTCCTACCTTGCCCTCACTATCTCTTTGACCTAACAAGTTATATAATCATACTGAATCTATTTCTTTCAGAGTAAAGATGAAGGTGATCATATCTGTTTCAAAATGCCATTGTGAGGAATAAATATAGTAATTTAATCATGACATATAATAGGCTGTAGAAAAATGAGAGGTTTCTTTCCCTCTCCATGTCTCGAGATACATTTTCTTTTTTTATGTTGGCATAGTGTACTTTCTTTTAAACAAAGGAAATATTTGAGTACAGTGGTTAGAATCGGAGTATACTCAGGTATAACATGTTATGTGAATTCATTTTGTAATAGGTCAATAAGATCTTAAAAACAATGCATACCAAATTAATTCTTTTTCTTTTGTACCGGGAATCAAACTCAGGGCCTTATGCTTGACAGGCAGGCTTTGTGCCATTGAGCTTTATCCTTGGCATTGCCAAATTAATTCCTAAGCCTAAAAGAGTGATCCTTTGTTAACAAAGACTTCATCTTCTTTTCTTTTCTTTCTTTTTTTTGGTACTGGGGATCGAACTCGGGTCCTTGCGCTTGCAAGGCAGGAGGCAGAGCCACTGAGCTAAATCCCTGGCCCCATCTTATTTTCTATTTTAAAAAAGAATTGATGTTGACAAATATTTGTCACATATTGTGAACTCAGTTTAAATCCTTTAAGAAAACTACATAATTTTAAGAAAGATTCTATGTTTGCTTAAAAAAACCCAACAAAAGTTCTTTAGACTTTTCAGCTTATCCATTTAAAGTGCATTATACTTTTATGGGTCTCTACAGATATCCTTTAATGGAAACATAGATTTAAAAAGTAAATTACCATTAGCATTAATGAAATTAATTACCATTAGTTCTGAATTTTTAATATCTCCATGTTCTTTCCCAGATGTCACTTAAAACATTTATTTTTAAGTCACTGATAGTGAATAGGAATACATTACTATGTCTAATTTGTTAAGCACCTTTTAAGACAAGCATATAGTCTTCTGTAGCTAAGAAGGCAACTAAAACTACTAAATTAAAATTGTAGTTTAGACTCTCAAGGCTAAAACATGTAGAAAAAGTGACAAATTTTGAGTTAGACTTGGACTTTAACAAGTATTCTTATTGGTCAAATGTTAAACGTTGTTTCTAGAATTTTAAAGATGTTAATGAAAGGAATTTGGGCGATATAACACAAAATTACAAAAAAGAACTACTTATATCGCAAACATGCTAATAAAAAAGATAAATAAAAGAAAAGTAAATACTTAGGTAGGCATGGTGGTGCAGGCCTGTTAATTTAGCAGTCTGAGAGGCTGAGGCAGGAGGGTCACAATTTTGAGCTCATCCTGGGCAATGTAGTGAAACTGTCTAAAAAATAAAACAACAAAAACAGGTGGGCATGCGGCTCTGTGTGAAGGCCTTATTTCTACCCTTAATACCTCACAATAGAGAGAGAGAGAGGGACTCTTTTAATTTTCATTTTTGTTTTATATTTTGACATAGATATGATTCATACTTGCAAAAAATTTAAAATGAGGTAGATTTGCCTATTTGGTGAAACATCATTCATTAATTCATTTGCAGATGAAATATATATATGTGTAGAGGATTTCACCTTTATTTTATTTTAATAATGTAAGCTAAGATAATTATTTTCTTATACAATTCTTCACTATTGTCATTTGCTTGTTTTATAGGAAAGAAGCAGCAGATTTTCATGCAGACCACCAGTCAAGGCCCTTTTTTAAGTAGGTACCTAATTGGGAAGCAATGGCAGTTATTAGTACAGGGTATCCTAGAAAACTCAATGTATTCTTATAATCAAAAATTTGTTACATGAGAATAATCTGTCAAAATGATCAAAATAACATCTTGCAACTTAGAATTGTTTTCTAAGAATTGTTTTTGCTACCCTTTTAGTGAATAAGAATTCTTGAATCTCATCATGATGTGTACCAACTACCCACAATAAATGCAATCATGTACGACAAATGCACTAATAAAACTAAAAAATAAACAGATCATTTAAGTTATGAGAAACAGCTTTCTTTTTAGATTACAATAAATTAAAATATAGTGATAAATACACTTTTATTAAATATTTTGTTGTACTTTCAAAGTCTGTTTGGTACATATTTTGTTCCTTGGGATATGGCAGATTTTATGTGTTGAAACTGAAGCTCTATTCTGAATACTTGGGGTGCTACTCATGTTAGGAATTACTGTGTATACTCATTACTATTGACAGATAAAGGGGTGTTTGCATTACTAATAAGAATGTTACTATTGGGCCTGGGATTTAGCTCAGCAGTTTGGTGGCCTGCCTTGCAAGCGCAAAGACCCAAGTTCAATCCCCGGTACCAAAAAAAAAAAAAAAAAAAAAAAAAGAATGTGACTTTATACAAATTGCTACAATAGACATGCTAATTGATATGTTACACAGAATAGTGTTTTAAAAATTCTTTTATAAGAAAATTACTATGTCATAGATTGTTGTAAATCAAACATTGTTAGAATGGATATATGCAAATTTCTAACAAAGTAATGGAAATTATTCTTGGTTATAGGTTCTTTTTATTTATAGCATTGAGTTACAGCTAGTTTACTGTCTTACATGTAATTCATATGCTGTGAATTTTATTAAATAGATGAGCTGACTAGTTGTCTGGTGTTGGTAAAGACATAATAAAAGACTCACTGCAGCAACTAGAAGTTGTTTCATGAAGCAATATTTAATGATCAGTCCTACTGTTCCCTGTATTATTATATGCCATGCTCGTATTAGCAGCTTAGGGTTCTGTACTAACAGGATATTGCAGTGCGGTGAACCTTCGAGAGTTTCCAGTGATAACTAACACCCTGTGATAGGTTTGCCACCACCGGGATATTAGATTATAAATTTCTTGAGGGACTAGTCTTATTTCATGGTATAGATTCTGATAATGTAGTAGGTGATCCCTAAGAGCGTATCAGATACGAAAACATTGTTTTGCTCCCTTGATGTGTTGCTCCCTTGGTTTGCTGAGGTGGTCTTTGGGCAGCTAAGGTCTAGCAGACTATGTCTGAAAAGCTCTTGTGGTCTTAGGGTAGAGGGTAAGAATGTTTCTTTACACATGCTATTTTTTACAAATACTCTTCAAACTGAATTGAAGTGTTTAAGTATCAAAGGGCATTAGCTCATAGAAAATGGTGCATGAGGGAGATTGTGAAAGTCACAAGTTAATAGTCACATCCTGGCCCACCACACTATATTCCTTTTTCCAGAAGTGTCTTGTCCTCCCTCTGCTTTGGATCAGACAGAAATAGAAGCTTACTGTTGGAAGCACATTGTTTCTTCTGGACACAGCAAGGGGCAGTCCACTTATTTCAGTTAAATTTGTCAGTGCTACTTTGTGTACATTTAGAAGTGGAAAAATAAAATAAAGTATCATTTTTCATTTCCTGGTCAACTGAGTCTGTGGATTTTTAATCAAGAATCTGTGTGTATGCTTTAATAATTTAATAAAAGAATACTCCAGGGTAGTTTTTCTACTAATTAATGAATATTTCTTTAGGATTATTGATATCATTTTTATCACTAAACTAACTTTGTAAAAGATTCTTTGTCATTGAATTCTAATAGTTCTACATAAAAAGCATTAAATTCTTACTGAAAATGATATATCACTTTATATATTATGAAATCTTGCTGGAATGCAATGGTAAACTACTTGAAAATGAAAGAGGAAAATCATTCTTTTTTTCCGAGCAGTGGAAAAGGATAGATCAATAGCATGCATTTTTTTTTTTTTTTTTTTTTTTTTTT